AAACATGTTAAGACTCGACAAAAATTGGTCGTTTTATGCAGCATCACACAACATTGCAAAAGTTGAAATAATTCTAATAGTAAGGTAAAACAAGGAGATAAGTAGAATATGCTTTTTCTCATTTGGACACCAATATTTCTCAGATATCAATGAAAAATAACAACAAAAATGTATGATTAAAAAAAAATTGTTTTATTTAACCATTTCTATTTTTTACTGCTCTTTGTGCCAGAACTAGAAACAGATGATTGAGACATAGTACGTTTACGGCTTTGTTCAGCACGTTTCTTTGCCAGCTTTTCTTTTTGTCTGTGTGCAAGAAGCTTGGCATATTCAGTAGCCTGTTCTTTGCGTTTCAAGCAACGCTTCTTCTTTAATGCCAAATTATGACGTTTACGCGCTAGAAATCAAAATATTATAATTTTAAATTCCTGAATAATTAATTAACAAGTTATTTTTCAATTTTAAATACCTGAAGACGGACAGGAGTAATAAGACGTTGGATTTTTGGAGCCTTGAAATGCTGTTTGGTTTTTCCTTCCTTAATTGGCAAAGGTCTTTTAATAACGTACTTACGTACATCATCTTCTTTTTGCAAGTTGAATAACTTACGGATCTTATTTGCACGCTTAGGCCCAAGACGTCTCGGGACATTTGTGTCTGTTAAACCAGCAATATCCTAAAAAATTTAAATAATTAATTTCTATTGACATTAGAAAAATATCACATCATACAATGTTAGATAATAATATAAATTCAGTGTTTAGATTCAAATATGTTTGTAATGTATCGTTTATACACTAAAAATGATTAATAATAACCATTCTTAAAACATTAAACGAATATAAATTTTCCGTCATTCCGATGTCAAAATATTATTTAAATAAATCAACAGGAAAATGACGGGTTCAAAATAAAATGTATAAATGATAGATCATAATTCATAACTGATATATATATTAATAAAATTATACGGTTGTAAATAATATATTTTCCCATATCAGATGATGGTTTCAATTGCTTCACTCGTTTTTTAAATTTATATTCTTTCTGGTTTACTAGAAGAATTAACAATTCAACATGTGGCAGTGAGCATATTAATATAAAAGTTTTTCTTTTAAAAATAATATTAATATTTTGAAATACTTGATGATTAAACACAAGGTTAACATTCCCTACTAAAATAGTTGAATACACTAGAGAACTTAATCTTAAATGTAACGCTTATACCAAACAATGATCAACCATAGAGCAATCATTCTTAAAATATTAAACGAATATTAATTTTCCATCATTCCGATGTCAAAATATTATTTAAAATAAATCAACAGGAAAATGTTGGGTTTTAATAAACATAGTATATAACTTACACAAATTAATAAGAATATCATTCTTATAAATATATAAATTATGTTAAGCTTAGAATACAAGAACTAATTATAAGATTAACACAATCATTACATAGTTAACATAATAGAAATTTTGAGTTTAATGTAACGCTTATACACTAACAATGATCAACCATAGAGCAATCATTCTTAAAACATTAAACGAATATTAATTTCCCGTCATTCCGATGTCAAAATATTATTTTAAATAAATTAACAGGAAAATGTCGGGTTCTAAAAATGAATTTACTTGATAATACATTTTGGGTATTAAGACTACAGCAAATTTATGAGCATTTTAAATTATTAAGAATGATCAATAATTAGCATTCACAAAATATTATTAAATGTTAAAAAACAATAATTATAAATTCACAGTAAAATATCTTTACTTTATTTTTTTTTAGTTATAATTAATAAAAATAAATACCTTTTCTCCTTTTTTGACAACAACCAATGACAAAACACTAAGATTGGAATCTACGATACATCCACGAACAGATTTTCTCTTACGTTCACCATCTCTTCTAGGACGGTAACAAGAATGTCCCTTGGATAATAATAAGCGTACTCGGACATTAGATAGAACACCTTGTTTCATAGGAAACCCTTGCTTGTCATTGCCTCCAGAGATTTTTAGCACATAACCTTTCCATTCTTCACCGAGTACATCAACTTCAACTTCAGTGCCAATACGTTTTTCATAGAATACACGCAACTTGTGCTCATCTACAATTTCAAACAGCTTTTGACTGCCTGTGGCTGGATATGATACATTTAACTATAAAATAAAATAATTTAATTAATTGAAAAACAAGCAACAACGATAAGTAAGCCACTGTTATAATATTAACTTTGTTAGTTTTTAAAGTCTAAACATGTAACAAAACATACAGTACCTATGTGAAACATTTATAATAGAATAAACAATTTACAAGTATCTAATACTTAAGAATTATTTAAGTGTAAGACTTAAATATGTTTTACAAATCCCACAAATATGTTCAAACAATAATGATTGGTAAGACGTTTATGATTAATTTTTATTTAATGCAATCTTTAACCAATTTAAGGTTGTAAAAATTACTTAACTATTGAAAAGAAAATTGTTGAAACAGTGAAAATTTCACATTAGATTTCGTTAGAACGTTGCGTCAAAAAATCAAGAACAAATTATCTGGAGCCATCATATCTTTGAGACTTAATAAACCACCATTATAAGTACCTAATGAAAATTAAAGGAAACACTAAAATGCAGTTTACAAGTGTCAGTACTTTGTAATGGAACGTAATACCTCAAATATAACACGGAATGAAAACAACGCTAACAATTATTTTTCAATTAGTTGTCGGTACCATGTTATGTTAAACTATTTTTCCGACTTCATCCAATTGCATCTTAATAAATATTAATTGTTTCCAAATAAATACTTGCATAAACGATAAATAAGATATTAAAGAGTTAACATTACCTTCATGTTGAATCCTGGTTAATGGCCGACCACAATCCAAAAATTAAATACCATAAAACATTTTCACATTTAACACTGAAAACAAAAAGGTAAGCAAAATGTTTTGAGGGACCGTCGACGGAAAATATTGATAAGTGAGGTTAGGGTTTTGACTAAAATATAGTGTAGCCAACTGTCTTAATTGAATGATACCCTGGAATAATGATAAGAAAATAAAAATTTTTATATTCATTGCAGCCAACTTATAAAAGTAAAAATATAATCAACTTTGCCTCCCCCCAAAAACATACGAAATACGAATAACTATTATTCCAATTCTTAGTTATTTATTATCCTACTAGCACCGGTGAAACTCGCTGTAAGTGAATACCCTAGGCCGGTAAAACTCGCTGTATGTGAATACCCTAGGTAGCTGAAAATCGTTTGAAGTGAATTTCCTAGGTAGGAGACAGGACTTTAGAATACCGCAGTTAGAAAAGTATATTAGGCCAAATCAGTGATAACAACGTTTGAGACGTTGGTTGGTACCTCTGATTTGGTGGTTCTACACTTTGGCGGTGTTGTTTTAAACGCGTAAATAATAAAAGTCTAATTCGAGCGTCTAGTGGTCGGTCATTTCATTAAATTCACAGGTGTAATACACCTTGTCCCGTAGCCTGCCCTGTGCTTTTGTGCATGGAAAATAAATAAATACATTCCGAAATGGTAATTAAATGTCTAGCTATCAGTCATTACCCGGTGCTTGACGTTACTCGACTGGGCAATCCGCGTAGCTTACCCGGTGTTTTTGAATATGGAAAATAAATAAATATACACTCCGAAAGATTGATCAAGTGTCTAGCTATCAGTCATCGCCCAGTGAACATCGATTCCTGGCCGGGCAATCCGCCTTCGGCGGATTGTTATACCCTCTGACGTCGAAGGCGTTGTGCTGTTTAGTACGTAAAAAGTTTAAGTCGAATCACCGTTGAAAATCCAGTTGAACGCGTTTAAACCTCCCAGGTAGGCAATCTGAATGCGTCGGATCGCGGACGATGTGGGCGTAAAGGGGAGATTTTTAAATATTATGGAAAGTACACGTCAAACGTTAGCGATTCGAAGATCAAAAAACTACACATATTTAATATTTTTTTTGGTATTTTATAGATAGTGTAAGATAAGATATCGAAAAGAAATATGCACTTTCCGTGATAACAAAAATTACAATTACCACAGTAGCTACATTAATATTTAATCAATGGATTATATATATATATATAAGTTCTAAAACAGTAATATTAGATAATAGATTCATATCGATCATTAATATTGTATGCGGCCAATAAAAATTAATATATATTTAATTGTTATATTTTTCTTCTTTCTTTGTAATATATATACATTTTGAATATTGAATATTACGTGCAGTTCACACAAATATTAAAATTAATTTAAATGTATAGTGTAAAAAATAAGTTAGTCAATGAAGAACACCATATACATGCATAATTGATTAAGTTATTAAACTATCATATCATTAGTTACTTTTGTAATACAGTGATAAAAAACAAATAGTTATGGACACGATATATATTTTGTATAAATAAAAAAAAATAATAATAAATTTAATTCACAAATAAATTAAAAAACACTAATGAAATGTCGTAAAATAGCATCAGGTTATCAGGTATAAATTAAAAAAAAAAAAAAACAAAATCTAAATTACAGTAGTAAGTGAATCTACAATAATGACAATTATATCTGTGAGATGAAAAACTACCAACCTAAAATAACAAAAAATTAATGTTTATTAAATTGTTGTTTGACATTAATAACAAATTATCCACAAAAATAATTTGCATCCAGAGAGAACCATGTGGAGGTTGTCAAACTTTCTCTCCATTGATTTTTATAATCAATCTAAACAAATAATCGAAAAGTGAAGTGTAACGGATCACGAAGTTCCGTGGGATCACAAAGGTCCCGTGGATCACGAAGGTCCGACATGGATCACATAGATCCGACATGGTATGGAAAACTATAGTGTTTAAAAACACTAACATGTAATAAATATTGTTGTCTGTCAACAACAAACAGGTATCTCTAATAAAAACTTTTTTTTGAACAAAGTAAATTATTTTATCAGAAATATTTTCTTCTGTATACATTTTTACCATAATTAATCAATATATTTGAATATAAGCACAAACTCATGTTGCTTAGAGAACTTCTCTGTAGACAATGTTTTTGGTGACAAATCTACCACGATCGTCACCACACATACCAATTTTAATTGATTACGAGTCTCACGCGTGAAAACGCCACGTACAGTTGTCCGTGTGTGAACACCGGTGAAGGCAGAAGCAATCCAACTTTATCAAAAGTTTGACCCCGTGACTTGTTAATGGTCATCGCAAAAGACAGCCGTACGGGGAACTCTACTCGTCACATTATGACTGGCAGGTCATCTTCTCCACTTGACGTGAGCGGTTTTGCAGGTATGACTATGTCTTCCTGTGCATTACCAGACAACATACTCGTTTTAAAGTTGTATCATCGCAGTTCAGTGACGACCAACCTCGTGCCGTTGCAAAGTCGCCTCTGTGAATCTAGATTTCTCAGCAACATGACGATCGAACCGACTTTCAGAGTCAAGTTGTACGGTGGCAATCCATCCGGTTCTAGTGTTGAGGAATTCTGTAGGATAATTGGCCACTTCGTCGGAATCGTCGACCACCACAGTGTCGATGGCAGTGTAGCTCCTGTGTGCACCGTCGATGCGTTGTAGCACCGTGCGATTGACTTGTCTGCATTCATCGTTCCTAGGACATAAAATTATTTTCCGAGCAAACTCGTCAACTAACACGAAGGAAAAATATTAGGCGACGTCTGACAATCGTGTCGGGAACGTCATAAAGAAGTTTTGAAACAAAAAAAAATTCAAAACTTTCATGAAATTACACAAGAGTTTCCGAATTAAAGACAGCCTAAAAATGCCGATTTTAACGCGTATACTCGTGACGGTCATATAAATAGATATTTACGCAAGATACTCAAGTACGTCATCGTAAATGATGAAACTTATACACAACGGTATCCAAACCCTCGAATTTAAAAAAATATAGATATTATATAGAATCATCATAAATAATAAAACTTGTACTCACCGGTCTCTAAAACGTCGATCGAACAAATTAATGAAAAAAAAAAAAAAAAACAAATTATATGTAAGTAGAAAAAAAAAGATTTATACAAATTATATTATTGATGTATACAACACTATAATGTGTCGTACGGACTACGGTCAAACATATTGCACAACGTTCGTCGAGCAACAAAGCTGCTCGGAGTAGAAACACCGGACCCAGGAGCACGATGTTCTTCGACCTCTCTACCCCGAAAACACAAAATACCAGTATTACCAAATATTGCGAATATGCAATAATATTATATATAAATCATATTTCAATTTATTATGTTGTATACATAAAAACTTCTCATCGACGAATGGAAAGATGGAATGAATCTATGAACAGAATCGCGGTATTGATATCATCACAAAGTATGAGTACCTAGGCACGCAACGTGTTTTGTTTTGTATATTATATTATTAATATAATAAATCGTCATTACTCATTCATTTCCAATTTGAACGTGCAACCGTGCAAGTGAGTATATTATATTATATTACATTATTTTTATAACAATAATAACAATAATTTTTCCATATCCTACATATTTTTCTTATGTAAATTGAAAATTAAGTTTTATATATTTGTTATGTTATTATTTATATTTATTAGAAATATGCAAAACGCCAAAACATCAGAAATTGCACCATAAACATGACTGTCTCCTTCGGGGGACAGTCATGTGGCGGCGGTGGTGGCCGTGGCGCCCAACATGGGACTTTAAAAAAAAAAAGTAAGTATGAATAATAAGATTAACTACATTAACGAATAATGTATAATATAATATATTTATGCTTCAGAATGTTACAACTGCCAAAAATTTGGGCATTTGGCTAAACATTGTAAGTATGTTTTATATACTTGTAGTATCTATTTGTTTATGTATATATAGAATAAAATAGGAAATAATTCCGTAAATTGCGTAAATAATTCCAGGCAGGAGACCAAAAAAAAAAACAACATGAGCAGGCGATGGTTGCTGAAGAACCAAGGGTGATGGTGAAGGAGCCACCGAATGAATCACCCGAGGTTGCAGCAACCACAGCCTACTTGGCTGAACTGAGGATTGTTGTAAGTATTGTTAAAAATGATTTTTTGTTATATTTATTTTATTGTAAAAAATACATCTTTTATAGGAACTAGAAAATGACGACACATCATCTGTATATAACGAATTAGGTAAGGTTCTATTTTTACTATTGTTCTTCTATTTTTTCAAAATCTAATTTTTTTGTATGTTTTTTCAGAATAAATTATTTTTATTTTTTTAATACTTTGTGTTTTACTTAAAAGGTTTTTCCTTTGTCCTCATACGTATATGTTTAAGGTATGTCATATAGTATAGATCATATATAAATGTGTATTTATTTGACTAAATAATGTATGGTCTATATAGTATATTAGGGAAACATAAATTGGAACTAATGAGTGTTCATTTTTTTTTATGTTATAAAAAAAATAACATTTCCATAAGAATTTGTTCATAAACAATTTGTTTTTCAATATAAATACAACTATAATCTATTTGTTAAAAGAGTTGTAATGAATGTATATTTTATAGAAGTCTTAGAAATAACATAAAATTGTCCTGGTATGAAGTATTAAATTATTTTTAGTAGGTACCTAGTTAATTATATTAAAAAAATATATATAACCAAATATTTGAAATGATGAATTTAATACAAATCATAATTTCATTTCTATATAGTATTAGGAAAACATAAATTGAATTAATGAGTGTTCATTTTACACTAAAGTAAGTAAGTATATTACTATAATAACATTTCTATAAGAATTTGTTCATATACAAATTTTTTTTCAATTTAAATACAACTATATTCTATTTGTTAAAAGCGTTGTAACAAATGTATTGTATAAAAGTCTTAGAAATAACATAAAATTATCCTAGTATGAAGTATTAAATAATTTTTAGTACCTAGTTAATAATTAATTATATTAAAAAAAATAAATAAACAAATATTTGAAATGATGAATTTAATACAAATCATAATTAGTACATAGCTTACTTGTAATAAAAATATTAAAATAAAATAATAGGCATCACATGAACGTTGGTAATCGTACACCAAAGCTACCAAATAAAGGGTACAGGGGAAAAACAGTAGTATCCGTTTCTGAAAATTTTTCAGGGGAGCAAAAATATAGTTATGGACTAAAATCTTTCTTCACCAGTTTACCTAATCTTTTTCATTTAATAACTGTGGACTGACTGAAAGATTTTTTCACTGAATTGATTTCAACTGTCGATATTACTTCTTATTTGCTATTGAATCAAACCATAAAATCAAAATCAAAAAAAATGGACTACCACTGTTTTTCCCCTGTATCTTTCAAATGTAAACAACTGTATTGTCATCAATAGAATGTTCTCAGTCTATAATATAAATTGCATATCACATATGTACATTTGAATTGTGCAGACTGTTAGCAATAACTATAATTGGTTATTATTTTTAATTAAGTATATATAATATAATAATCTATCTTTAATCTATTTAAAAAATGAATAATTGAATACTATTGTGTAATTTAATGTTCGTGTAAAGTATATTGTAATATAATATATTTTGACATCATCAATCGAGCAATATAAAATTAAAGTGTGAGATCAAAAATCATTTTTAAGATTTGAAAAATATTTTATGAGTAGTACCTAGTGTAAGACAGGATATCAAAACGAAAACAGCAATTAAAAACGATCGAATTAAATGAAAAAAAAAAATGCAAGACATCCGTTATACACAGTTTCTTGTGGAGCCGCCCGAATATCGCCGGAACGGGGTTCGAACCTGCCAACCTAACGTCGGGGAACCTATCCTAACACCTATCGACTACCGTTTGAGTTGATAACCGTAACCGAATTTCGAGCACTTACATCGTTTTAGAGATGCGACGAATACTACATTATACGTCGTTTAAGCGATACGATTTTTACGATTCGCGTGTCACGAAACCATAAATCGCATATTAATTGTCGTTTAGAGCAGCGGTTCTCAAACTTTTTATTTCGCGTACCACTTAAGTATATTATCAATCAATCGCGTACCACTGATGATTAAAAATCCTACCACCATGCGGCCTTCCGCAGTTCCGCGTACCATCATGTAGTCTTTCGCGTACCACAGTTTGAGAATCGCTGGTTTAGAGTGTTTCCGACGTATTCGTTTACATTTTTTAATCGTATACGTCTTAACGACGTACCGAGTTTATTATCACATACACATATCACGATATCCCCCCAAAGGTATGCGATTAAAGGCATTACAACGACTGAAGAGCAACGATTTTGCGATTTTTTTGTGTATAATAAATATAATCTGACGTACGTCAACAGTGGTATGCACGTTTCTTTTTTTATATAATATTATTATTAGTGTATATAAATATATACACATATAATCGTATTTCGTACGCTTTCGAGACGATAAGGTCGCGGAGACACCGAAAACAAAAAAACGCGTAATCGATACGGATAAACGATTTATCGTATCGTAAAAAAAAAAACAGTAGTGACGATACGACGACCGACCGGAGAACGCGCCGCGAGTACGCTTTTTCCGGACGCGAACGAAATTCGGAGACGCGCGGACTGGACGAAAAAGACCCGCTCTGGGCTATAGCGTCGAGAACGCGACGGAAAAACTTCTCGAAAGGCCAGAAAACCGGGCGAAAAGCGGAAAAAACGGTATATAAAAACAATAATAATGAGGAATAAGCAATAACCCAACCGATAACGACGACGGCGGGAGATATCGGATAACGACTGGAAAAAAAAAATTTTAATTTTTCGATTGGTCGAGACACTAAGCCTATCGGCCCGTTTAGCAACTATTCTTCGTTTTATATTATAAGAAAGAAGATTAAAATTTAAATCTAATTGTTGAAATAAAAATAAAAATAATAGTTTATTTACATAATACAAAATATGACATATTTCTTTAGTTATTTAATCGTTCTAAGATTACATGTAATATTAATATTAACATTTATGTTATTTTAGCGAAAATTAATTGATGTGTGCATTGAAGCTTTTACTTTACTATCATAACATGTATTTCAAAGTTCCTATCTGTCTCACTCGGAGTCTCGGACGCTTCCATTTTTTATCATATTCACTCAAAACCACAAATAATAATAGAAACCACTCAAATAGTTACAAGTTACTCGATGAATGAAATGATGCGTCTTAAGAATGAGCACCTGTTCTTATTCTAGCAAATAATAATGTTATTGATACCTATTTATTTGTAGTGTTTGTATGTTTTATTTTTATAATAGCTGAATCATATTTAAATGAAAAATTGGGTAATGTGTAATACTAGAGTTCAAAATGTACGACCATCGATCATCAACGTTAAACTTGATGTGTGGTTATATGTTTTTTGAAAAATTAATTAGACCAAATTGCAAAATATTGGTGAATTTATTCAATCTTCTTTTTTATTATACAAAATGTTATGTACCTACCTATGTTATTAATTATTATGAATTATTATATATCATCATCATGTAAAATTAATTTAACCTAATTAACCATTTATTTTAATAATTTAATTAGGTATGCTGATATATTGGAATTTGAATTATAATATTTATACTCATTAGTTAACATAGCAGGTAGGTTCTTAAATGTATTTTTATAAGATTTAGTTTGAAATTT